AAGAACGGCGGAAAAAAAAAGCCGGCCCGTTCACCCGCCACTTCTTTCAAATGAGCAATCAGTGTAATTAAAAATCAGATTTAGAAAAAGTGAAATATTCGAAATCGGTACGGGCCCGTTGCGTGTTTAAAGGTTAGCATGAATGATTCAACGCTACACGATTTCATTGGAAGTCTGGACGAAACGGGTTTTTGTTTACGCAACGACGATCCGTATCGCCCAATCGCTTAGATGGTGACCTTAGCGTGCTCTTCTCGGTTTTGCTACGTCCTATCACCTAGGCCAGGCTGTTCACCGATATACTTTACTAATTAGAATTTATATATGCACGGGCATCACTTTTTTGATGCACAAGCTGCTGTGACATATTATCTATTTAACTGTATATATATATATAGTTCTTCTGTACGTGTGTATGTCACTGAACGTCTAAACGGCTGGACAGATTTTAATGAAATTTTTTTGAAACGATTCAAGAATGGTTTAGATTCACAATTCGTTTTTTTATTTTATTTTTTTTATTTATAAGTTGTCGTATTTAAGTCGCGTGTACAGTGTATTATATATTTATTTAATCTTAATGACCTTACCTTCGAAATAGAAGAAAACAAAAAGCCATCTTATGTTATTCTCAACAAGTCAACCTGGAGTATGGTGTGGTGAGATCTTTAGGCAGGTGCAGTAAAAACTTTGAAATGTACTCTTTGATTGCAATAGTTCGCAAATTAATTATCGCCGTTTGTTATCAGCACTTAGTATGTATACTTACTTTATACTTCCTTTGTGTTGCATAAGTCGTAGCCGCGAGTTATTTAAAGTTTACTTTAATGCTCCTCTTTAACAGAGGCTATCAGAGCACCACGCGACCCTATTTAATTTTTTTTTTATGCTAACTTTTCGGATGCAAGAGAAGTCTATGGGCGAATCTAATTATTTCATTCAAATTTTTAACAATCACCATTAAACGTTCTTCGGCTTAATTCCCTCAGTCAGATGGTCTATTAAACTGGACAGAAAAGGACTTAACCAACCGTAATTATACGTGAACTATATTTTTCTTCAGCAAAAGTACAAATCTCATTCGTTTTTCTTTTAACATAATCCTATAAGTTTATCAGAACTCTGATTAAAATTGCCTTGAGACAAATGAAACAATTCGTTCAGAGTACATTTGCTTAGTAGTTTTTACATTTTTTTTGCCGCGAACTTATTAAAATGATCGCTACTCATTACTGATTAATCAATTCTCATAAATTCCAATTGCTGGATATAAATAACAAGACCATATTTTTTTAAATTAACAATCTATAAAGAAATCCTTATTGAAAAATGTGGAGCAATGAACAATAGCTTTAAATGCCTTTACTCGGTAACTATTAAGATAACTACAAAGTACTTCGTCGACTCGTTAATGTTTCTGCTTTTAATAAATCTTTTATATAACTCCACCCATTTTCGATGCCTAGGCAAGGAATATTGCTGCCGACAAATTTACGTGTTCCTGTGAAGCTATTAAAAAGAAAAAAACTACTGGACTACAAAAGCGAGCACTTTAGTGTTTGCGTTGAAATTTTATTTGTTGAATTACACATACGCCGTCGACTCGACATAAAATTCGCATAAGCAGCCTTGTTGTCAATATCTGAAATGTACATTTAAATAATATTGCAATTAATTTGTTAGTTTGTTATCTATAGGCTTAATGTTTCAAAACCTTCCGCAGGTTTGTTATAGAGTAATTTCTCGTATGTAAATATCATCGAATAAATTCATTTTATTTAATTAAATATAATTTTAACCAAATGAGCACATTATTATTTCTCATTTTGTTTAAGATTCCAATGAAAAACATTCTTGTTCTAATGTGCAAGCACCTTCTTGCCCCACGTTTATTAGGACTCTGTAACCGTTAATTTTTATATCTTGAAAAGGCTTCTCAGGTTGCTCTAACAGAATAACCTTTTCACTTTATTAGTCTTCCGTGTATTGGGGTCTTTAAATCAAAGGACAACGACGTCTGGTCCCCGACAAGCAATTGATCCAGTTCGCAGACACGACGAAGTTAAACCAATAAAGACGTCGGCCTAAATGCACGCAAGTCGTATATAACGCCGTCAGAAATGTACGAGAATAGACTTGTATCATTCTGCTGCTATACATTCGCTTTGAACAAAGATCATTTTTGATTGTGCGAAACTTTTTTTTTCTTACGCAGAGTCAAACGCCTAAGTGTAACTAGCCCCTAAAATGAGTTCAATATTAGTTCGCACTAATATTTTCAGATCCCTACAATGCGTTATCTATCATATAACCAATTTTTAATACGATAGATCGGATAGGAAAAAATATGTTTTGAAGTGACTCATGCGCATTTTAATAATCCTTGAGCTGCGGGGGGTTTCACAAACAAGTCCCGGTCAAAGAATCCACTCTGCTTGGAAACTGTTTTTTTCTCTTGCATGAGAAGGTAGGAAGTCTTCGCTTCCTGCGCTTCACTCGATGTTAATTTATCAACTTGGAGGTAATAAGTTAACATCAAGTGACCATGATTATCTTTATATAGTTTCAGATACGTTGGCAAATTAATAGACCTTTGTTGTCACGTTGATTTTCTGTGTGGCCGTGGTACTTCCCAGACGAGGAACGTATTGAGAGGGAACTAACAACTCGATATCCAGTTGTTGTGGTTGCCACTTAAATAACTGCATTATGCTTGCAATCAACTATAACTGTAATAAAACGCTATGGAATCGTTTTCGTCTTTCGACGACACTCGTTAACGTTAATAGAACTGTAAAGGAATACGTAACATTGCACTTTTTCTATTATCCAATAATAGCGTTAGCCCCTTAATTGCACGAACGCAGGTCTTCACGGCTATTATCCACACCTTGCGCGATCCCCAGTGCCTCCACAATCTAAGCGACGCGTACTTTATTCACTTACAATGGACATGTTCGAGGCTAATTACACCTAATTATCGTGTTCATTTCATCCGTAAAGGTCAAGTGCACGCTTGACGTTTTCAAATGTGCCCATCGACGCCTTAGTATTTAAAAGAACAGGTGCAGAAATGTTTGAGAATGCGTCGCAATTATGAAGGGCTATCGATTCTTCGTCCCCAAGAGAAGGATTATTCCTATACCGTCTCATTTCGAAAAGTACGCTTACGAATTATCTATGCCGTCGTGGGTTGTGCTGATGATGTGCTTATAAATAGCCCCTTTGCGCTCAATTAATTATTTATCAGGTCCTCTGTACGCATTAATGCTGATGCGTTGAACGGAATTAATGTGCTATCGGCGGGCGTCTCGCTTTTTTCCCACTGGCCAGGTCTCGATCTTTATTCCACCTAATGTTGAATCGCTTGGAATAATCTTTGATTCACATTTATGGCACTTGCGCCCATTGGGAATACAGGTGTACCTGTTTATCTTCTCTGTGTAACTTAGATGTTCAAGTAACAAGAAAATTCTTCCTTAAGTTACGCGTTTTAATGGTGTTTTGTTGTGTATGATTGGACTTTAAATTGTTCTGTAAATCCAACAGTATCCTTGCCCATATAAATGTTTATTTTGAGGCCTGAGAAAAGTAGTCTAATCGCAACAATGAAACTCATTGCTGTACGAGAAACTACTTTTTATCTGTAATTTTAAAAATTAATCATATTTTTTGATGTAGCACTTTTATTTAATAATCACTTATCGATAATTGCTACAGATTTTCTAACTTTATTTTTTTGAAGGCAACAACATTGTAACTATCGCGCAGTGTAACCCCGAAAGCCAAATATTGTTTCATTTGACATTTCTTTTGCAGATTATTACAGATCGGAATTTTGAATGTAAAAAAGTAGTAAAAGTACTTCTTATTTTATTAAGGGGGGTAATCAATTCGTACAAAGATAATCAGCAAAACATTTGTCTCCTTTTAATGCTGTGTATGGTATACTTAATAAGGTCTCGCTTGTAGGGCAGTCTTTTCAATGCTCTCATTAACGGTACACGTAATGTATAATTTATCAGAAACTATTATTTTCCATTCAACAGCAAATAAAGTTACGTGCAAGCGCCCGTGTTTCTTTCCTGCATAAACATCTGTTCCCATTAGGGCTTGGGTAAGGGTGTTTATGTAGTCTAAAGTACAAATGGTAGAAGTGCGTCTAGGTTATTACTAGCACTTAACCATTTATTCTTTTCATATTTATCAATTCTAAAAGGGATTTTCCGTTTGTGCAAAATGTCTTCCCCAGGAGATGATTATCGCTCCCGATTTTACTAATTTGTAAAATCGAGAGCGATAATCATCTGGTTTTCTATCAATGACGTCATTCTACCTCAGCTAACAATGCGTGTTAATGTTTATTTTTGTCTAACTTTCCTCGTCAATCTTGTGACATAGGTAATAATTATGCAGGTATAACATAACATATTCTCTTTACCTTTCATTATTTTCGTATCTAATGATAATGAAGCCTTACTTATATTTGAATAATGTTACGAGGCAGCTGCAATAAAAGACGGCGAAAGATAAAACATTTGGCTTACATAATTAAATTTTCAAAGGGCAATCGATTCCTATTGATACAATCAAACTCGATAATGAGACATTATCCGCTGCTTCAGATGTTAAAAAAAACTCATTTTCAATACTTTGTTCAATGGTAAACTGTATCAATACATTATTCATTGATTGCATTTTTCTTTGTCTTGATCGTTAACTGTTCAACAAGTTGAAGTTGAAAATATTAAAGGAAAAATAGAGGTAAATATGCATAGATGTTTCATATTATTTTGGGGTTCAATCGGGTAAAGAAATGCCAATTCCCATACTACTTTGAATCGATGAAACAGATATTCTTCTGTAAATATACGAGACCATTTCGCCAAATGTTTCGCACACGGCTTCATGTCTCTTTCGATTCACAATATGTTACCCTTTTATTTTGCTAGCGAAGCTAATGTTACAATTATTCAAGGGCGCGTTTCCTTTGTCAACAGAGAAGAAAAGCCTAAACAGCAACTGCCTCCATCAACGGGAGATGCTCACGCGAACCTGATGGCTGCCATAAGGCAGGCCGGTGGCGCGGGCCGAGCCAAGCTACGCTCGGCGGCAGAGTCCACACCAGTCCAGGTAATCCTGTCATCCAGACTATGAACTGCGTCCTGCATTGCGATATCAGATTGATATACGATGTCGACGTGTGTTACATATTCTACATTAATCGTATATAAAAATCCACTCATAACAATAAAAAATAATTGAACCTCTTCATGGTACAATTTACATATTTTCGAAATAATAACACAAAAAAATATTTCGAACATATATATGAAGTCCGCCAATTCGCAGTAGGGTCGCGTGGTCCGCTACGCCGACTTTACGAAAGGGCCCTTTGCCCAGCTGTGGGAAATAGAGGCTTATTAACAGATAAATACTAAGATGTGATTCGTCCTTATACTAGTGTAATATTAATGTACTTCAATATAAACATACGAACAGCTTAAGCATATTTTTATTAAAAATTATATTCTGACCTGATTATACAATCGAGAGTCGAATCAGTCACCTTCAAAATACGTTTTATTTAAATATAGAAGAAATTTAAGAGAACATCCTTTTATTTTTTCATTGAAAATGTGACCGACTTACAAGTTCACCTATCGGTTAAATAGAAGCCTAATACTCTTTCGAAGGTTAGACAAAGATATTTAGTTATCATTTTTTTTTTTCGTTCTTTGTTCAAAACGGGCGTCTACTGAATAGATTTAATTCGTAATACGGTACGTGGGACGTGTGCCAATTTCGCTCGCTACCGCACACAGCTGTGCGACGGAACGAGCGCCGCCAGTCCACTATAGTTAGTTGCGCCGGGGGAAAAAATCTAAAATCCGATCGGCCTCTGACGCGCGTGAGCTCTGCCGGGAATCGATTGGGGAACCGGTCCACGGTGCGGGCGCAAACCCGCGCTGCGCCAAGTGGGCCGTCAAACGACATTCTATCGCCACGGTCCAGAACGTTCGAACGCACTCGGGCGACAGTCAAGGCTGCCATCCTTCACGACGTGACACGTAATGGACGGCAGACCAACGGTCTCGATCGAAATGTGAAATCGGTAATAGCCCACAAATATCGGTAGATTTCCTCCCACAATCGGTAGGTTGATGAGGATGTCGGATGATGAGGTAGATTAATCAGTCATCGAACAGTCAATAAACTAAGACTCATTTTATTTCTTATTTTTATACTTGTGCTTGTAGGGCGTTCTACGTCGTAAGACATTTTGATTAGGTTTTCGTATATTTGATACTAGCTGCTGCCCGCGACTAGTCTGACTAGAATAGGCGGAAGGCGTAACATTCAGACAGAAAGACACATAAAATATGTATATAAATTATAGCCTATATCTCATTCTGATGTATAAGCTATATTATAGTAAAGTTTCATTAAAATCCATCCAGTAGTATTTGGGTGAAAGAGTAACAAACATCCATCCATACATACAAACTTTCACCTTTATAAAATTAGTAAGGATTTTATGTTTACTTAAAAAATGCACACAAATTTTAACTTCAATATTTTATAAGTACGAGTAAAAATGCTCTGTCCAAGTTAGTTCTCTCGTAGTAAATGAAATGGGTTGAAGGTTAAGAATGATTAAATCCTTAATCAGATATAATGAATTTGATTGTACTTGGAAATCATGAAAAAATTGTTTGATTTCCATATTTCGATATCGGTACAAATACCGAAATAATCACCATATCGGTGGAAATACCGAAAATTGACTCGAGGTTCGAGACCACTGCGGTATGATCTTTGATGAACCTAGTCCCGTTTCATAATTCAATTAACCAGGCTATCATATCGTATGTGGCTCAAGACGGAGCTAGCGCCACGACAAATTTAACGCAATAAGACATAAACATAGAATTAATTTTGACGAAACGAACTATTAAAACTCAGGTTGGAGTTGGACTACAATTTCTTTATTAAATAAAAGTATACGTATTCTCGCCTCGATACAAGGGAGTAGAATGCCCGGGCGCAGGACCACACCCTTCTTTTCGATGCACTCAGTTGTACCACTTTTTAAATTCTCACAATGTTTCAAAATAGTTTACTATTAGATTGATAAAATTGACAAAATATATAACTTTAACTTATATAATTTTAGGAAGCAAAACTAAATAATAATTGCGTAATACTACTATTTCACAGAATAATGGTAATGATTTTGAGTAACAATACAAGTTTTTTTTTAAAAGGCAGGACATTAGTCGCGTTCATAAATATGGTTCCTTTTTACATATCTAATTAATAAAATCAATGTGTTTTACAAAATTATTAGTTTTGTTAGCAAACATGAATAGGATTACTTTAAACAAATATTTTTGATTTCTAACAGAACGGAATACAAACCGATACAACGAATAAAACATGTGTAAAAAAAATCGATGAAACAATATCGAAAATCACTGTATATTCTTTCTCAAAAGTGTTTTTCTTGTCACGCCATAACTTCCATAACTCTTCAACAAATTTAATGATTCAACCACCACGTTATATCATATGTTTGCCGCTATTGACGAAATCACACAAGTAAATGTTAAGGTGTCCATATAAAAGTTTCATTTATAAATTTAATATGTGATATTACCATCTAATTAAAGCAAATTTAGTAAAATAAAAGATAGCGAAGTAGGCTGAAATCTACTGTTTAATTTCAGCGTCTACATCTTGATCAGCCCTAAACTGTTTTAATAATTAACAATGGTCTTGAAATATTGGCCACTTGCCAATGTAGCCTTTCTATTTTTGGCTTTATCAGGCTCGAGGTCAAAAATTCATAAATCGGCTCGCCCTTTGCTAATCTATTTATTAAAACTTACGCAGGATTTTGTATAATCCTCTAACTATATTTTAAAACTAAGGATTGTATAGAACTAGACGACCTTCAAGGCACGACCTTGGCTAGGGTGATGCTATATGCAACGCAGTAAATCTTATGCCGTTAATAAATATGAAATAATAAAAAAGAATCTGTACTCCTATTACTAACGACAATCGATAAAAGCTTTATGATGCTATTACTTTTCTTAGGTATCTGAATTGATGGATGAACTTGGAAAGAATGAATGAATGGATTGAATTTGCCACCTAATTGGCGTTGGGGACATCAATAACAGTTCAAGTGAACGGCTTGTTCATGCGTTCTTTTTTAAATGGAATTGAAATGTATGTTTCATAGGTAAATTGCCAGACGCTCTAGCCAACTGAGCTGAGGCGCGTTTACCAGGAGGCGAAGGTTCGAATCCTATTAACGCAAACTTTTGCGATAGCTTATTTCTCTAATAAACTTACAGTAAGGGAATATGTGTGTCCGAAAATTTCCAATTAAAACTTTTTATGTGTGAAGAGTTCGTGAGCAAGCTGACGGTTCACCTGATGTTAAATGATAACCACCGCCCAAGGACGTCTCAACACCCGTAGTGTTGCAGATGTTCTGCCACCAAACGCACAAAATAATCATTCGATTATACCAAGTAGTCAAACAAAAAAGTTCCACTTATATTATGCTTATTACGTGTAAGCGTTTTTTCAATTCACTTTTTCAGAAACGGACCGTATATGCTATTAACCTACCTCTTAAAGTTTATACAATAATCCGGAGCGCGTTCGTCACGAAGGTCGGACTTTCGGTCGGACTGTCTAGACAGTTTCTAATTAAAACTGAAAACAGCCGCCGCCTAAGGGCGATGCGCAATTATTTCAACGAGGCGCGAACGCTTTCATTCTTCATTGAATTAGAATTAATCAAAGTATTGGTCCAAGCGATCAACTTGAAACGGGGACGGGACGAATTCTGACAATATACATATGTATAAGCGTTTCATAAAAGGTAATACTTTCAGTGATGCCGAAATGTTAGCAGTAAGTCAGCGACATAGCGTAGAGAACGGTACGTTACTGCCGATCATACTAGTTCAAATACTGACGCGTTCCTAATTTATTTTTCCACGTGATTTTATCTTATTATTATATTTTCTTCTTTTTTTTTCAAGTTCCTTCTACTGTGGGAAAAAAAAGTCCAACAAAGCTCGGTCATCCAGGTAAATGTAATAAATGGACAATCATGTAAAATCTAGTCCAGCGCTAATTGCCGATATTTACCGTGCGTCTCGATTAGCGAGTCCCTAGAGAGCTAATTGATTGTCCTCAATCAATATGAAAGCGAATGAAACCTACCCTGTTCTCATGATACCAGACGGAATTACTACGGATTAGTACAGTAGGGATCAGGACTTGAATGACGTTTCTTGGAAATATTTGTATGCTTTTTTTTTGAAGTGGCTAACACACATTTCACCTGCCTGCCACCAGCATAACGCAAAAACCATCTTCTGGCCTTTCATGACTCTAGGTGAACGGGAAGTACCTTATAACTTTTGATAAGTAACTAGAGTTGGCAGCATCTCTTAATCGTTTTCAGGCATAAGCTTAAACTCTTAACGAAACTTAATTTTTTTCTAAAGATACACAACATCCTGTAGATAACCCAAACGGACGCATATGAACGAACTGTTTCCATCGACCGCGGCGAGGTTACCCCTAAAAGTTATAAGAAGACCAATTCGATTGCGGCCGAGCTACATTAGGCGCGACGCGGTCTCGCGTTTCGTGGAACCGTGTGCGGCTGGGCCCGTATTGATGCTCAATTAGCGATCTACTGGCCCCCGCTCTCTCTAATAGGCCAGCGAGCGATCAGCCGCCGAAACGGGAGGCCGGTCCGACGCCAACCGACGGCGCCTTCTCGGAAGCCCGCAAACGTTTCGCGAATCGGGCGGATATCCACCGACTTCTCGCTAATTAACGCGAACGCTTCATACAATTGCGTAACGCTAATTCGCTGATCGTCGATTATGACAACTGATCAATTTGTTCACGCTCGGATTTGATGTGCTCGAGCCGATGTACGTCGGCTAACGTAACATTTTATTCTCATGTGAGTGTAAACTAATCAGCAGTAAACGTGAGTGCACTCATAAAACGGGTAATGATGCACTAATGTTTCGCCTACCTATCCAAGACATCTGACACATTTGGAATGGCGTTAAAAATAACGGTTGAAT